TATCTATCTATCTATCTATCTATCTATCTATCTATCTATCTCTATCATGCCTCCCTCTCTCCATCTATCCCTCCATCTATATCTACCCATCTATGGTATCTTCCTCCCTCCCTCTATGTCTGTCTGTCTGTCTGTCTGTCTGTCTGTCTGTCTGTCTGTCTGTCTATCGATCGATTTATTTATACACACACTCACATACCCACACCACTGACCACTCAGAATACATAGCATAATTCCCATAGAATCACTCAAACTGGATGGCACTTTCATCTCCACAACCCCAAACACTCTTCCAAGTTTAACATTTTTACTGACTTCCAAAATAATATAAGATACACAATACGAAAGTAAATCCCAACACCCTTGGCTATCTGGTTAGGAGATTCTGGGACGTGGTGGACTTTCTCTGAGTAGGACTCCTGCAGTCCTAAGGCCAGAAGACGCTTTCATAGGCGTTTATATGCAGAACTGCCAAACCAGGGGTGGGTTCCTGCCAGTTCTAACCTCTTCTATAGAAGTGGTTCCATAAATCTACAGTGCTGTTCCAGCTCCCTCCCCCCGCCCATCCGCACATCATCAAGATGAAGAGCGAAAGGAGGAATTCTGGGAGTTGAAGTCCAAAAGTCTTAAAGCTGTCAAGTTTGAACACCCCTGGGGTTTGTTTTCTAAAGGGTTAGGGGTGCAAGGGTCTTGTAACTTGACAGCTTTAAGGCTTGCGTTCTTCAAATGCCAGAGTTTCTGAGCCAACATTTTGATTGCTAAACAAGAGCGTTGTTAAGTGAGTTTCACCACATTTTACAAGTTGGCCACGCCCACCCAGTCACATGACTACCAAGCCAGGCCCACTCGGTCACATGGCCGGCAAGCCACTCCCACAAAGCAGGCCACACCTACAGAAGAGGTTCTAAAAAAATTTGAAACCCACCACTGTGCCAAACGATCGCGTGGCTAGCGCCCGAGACCTTCTAGTCACACAAGTTCAACTGGCACTGCTTTTAGCTGCCTTCCACTGCAGCCCGACACCGGAGCCTCTGCTTCGGGGACAAGGTGACCCCCCCTCACCTCTCGCTACTAAAACATGCAGTATAATAAAATAATTCAATTAGTCGCCATCAAAAGGAAAGCTGAGATAATTCTCCGAGGTTGTCACTCCAAAACAAACCATGTCAACACAGCCAGCCCTGCTTTAATGGTGGCCCTCCGAGCCATGACTTGTGTGAACCTTCAGTCAATCTTGGTGCTGGGGAAAGGGAGGAAAATGGCACGTGGGAATCGGTGGCGGAGCGAGGGAGGTGACAAAGCAAATTGCAAAAAGCTTTAATTATAAAAACAAATCAGGCAGAGATGGCCCCAATAGTTACACTGAACCAATCAAGTAGCAAATAACACTGTTTTCCCTTCTCTCTCTCTCTCTCTCTTTTTCTCGCATGAGCAAAATACATTATTTGAATCAAAAAGAAAAGACCTGCTAGGCCATAAATCAAGTGATTTAAATCAAAGAGGGGAGAACCTTTCAAGCTACATCTCTGCTGGGATGTAGAAGGGGTTTAGAGAGGGAGGGGAAAGCATAAGTTTTTAAAAGGCATAATTAATGGGGTTACACGGACTTCACAATGCACATTTCAAGCAAGGAAACAGTAGAGTATTTCTGGATCATTCCACAAAACCCACTGCTAGGAAGATGAAGAGCGATCCTTCAGCGGAATCGCTGGCAGGAGAGATCTTGTCTTATAATAAGCTACACAAAAGAACACAGGTTGTTCTGGACTTACAATCACAACTGAGCCCGAAGTTTTTGTTGCTAAGCGAGACAGTTGTTAAATGATGCCCCATTTTTACAAGTGATGCTGGGTGGAGAACAATCATAAAACAATTAAAAACTGTTTCAACATAGTACAAATCTATCCATCTATCCATCTATCCATCCTCTATCTGTCTGTCTGTCCGTCAGTCTATCCATCCTTCCTTCCTTCCATCCTTCCATCCATCCATCCATCTGTCTGTCTATCCATCTATCTGTCTATCTGTCTGCATGTATGTATGTATGTCCGTCTNAAGGTCTGTGACTGTAAATCCTCCCTTAAAAGACTTTGCTGGATGTGAATGAGCAGAATCCACAGTCAATTAATAAAATTGTTTTTTGTCAGGACAAGGAGTTTGCTTCATGCTCTCGGGAAGCCTCGGTCAGCACAATCCCTTTGTGCTTTTATATATGTAAAAATGGGGGGGGGGGACAGCGAAGGGGCGCTCCCTCTGCTCAGACCAATTTCGGAAGACGATTACTGGAGTACGGCAAGTTTAATCAAGAACACTGTTTAAAGGAGAGTGGACCAAACTGTTTGCCTCTTGAATCGCAGGCCTAATCTTGTGGCCATAACCAGTTTTAAATCCTCTTGACTGGCATATATAAATTTTATCATCCCCGAAACAAATGTACTCTCGCCTTATCTCACTTTCTTCTGACTAATCTAATCAATTCAGGCGCCTTGTTAAAACTCCACGACCTGCCGTCGAGCTCGGATGTGGGATTCTGTGAATCTGTTTGGCATGAAATCAATAGCTACGGTTAATCCTGCTCTTAAAAGCGTTTCTTCAATGGCTGGATTTCGCATTCGGTAGGAGATATTGACATAATACTTGGAGAGAATTTTGGGATTACGCATTGGAATGCAAAGATTAGAAGAAAACAAAACTCTTTGAAAATAATTATTCAGGGAGTTTATAAGGTTTATAAAAAGCCATAAGGAGGACTAGGCCGATCTGCATCTCAGTGCCAATGAATGATATGAGAATTACGAGGCAGTTGTCAAGAGATGGGTTGCATTCTTTATAGAACACAGAGGAAGAGGGTTGGAAGGGACCTTGGAGGTCTTCTAGTCCAACCCCTGCTCAGGCAGGAAGCCCTATATCATTTCAGACAAAGGGCTGTTCAGTCCAGAAATGGTTTGCTGCTGGTTTCACTATCAACTCACAACCTGGGAGCAATGGGCTCGCTCGCTTTGCTCACGCATGCGCTGTTCAATGTAAATTGTTCTTCGCACATGCACAGAACAATTTACATTGAACTGTGTACGCGCAGTCACTAAAATCCAAAATGGCGGTGGCCCAGCGTCAGCAGGGAATTGGTTCGTGGGCGTGGCAGGCCTGGGTTGCTTCCTGTTCTGCGACCCAGGCCTGAATTCCACTACTGGTTCAGCCGAACCGGGCGCAACCCACCTCTGGTCCAGACTCTTCTTAAAAACCTCCAGTGATGGAGCATCCACAACTTCTGGAGGCAAGTCATTCCACTGATTCCTTGTTCTAGCTGTCAGGGAATTTCTCTTTAATTCTTCTTTGTTTAAAAACATTATTCAGAGAATGATGAATGTGCAGGGGTGAAATGCTACCAGTTTGCATCGGTTCATAAATACATGCCAGTTGCCAAGCGTCAAAATGTTGATCATGTTAGGAATATAATCTAACGGTTGGGTTGGCAATATATAAATCATGTAACAATGCTGTATCTGTTTCTTTAAATCAGGGGTAGTCAACCTTTTTATACCCACTGCCCACTTTTGTATCTCTGTTAGTAGTAAAA